CCCTCACTTTTTCTCCGAAAAATCCCCATTTTTCCCCATAATTCCCTCATTTTTCCCCCAAAATTCCCCAAATTTTGTTTTGTAGAATCCCCAATTTTTTCCCCCAAAATTCCCAATTTTTCCCTGAAAACTCCCAATTTTCCCCCCAAAATTCCCTCATTTTTTCTCCGAAAATTCCCATTTTTCCTCCAAAAATTCCCAATTTTTTCCCCAAAATTCCCTCATTTTTTCTCCAAAAATCCCCATTTTTTCTCCAAAAATTCCCAATTTTTCCCCCATAATTTCCCCATTTTTTCCCCATAATTCCCCCATTTTCCCCCCAAAAATCCCCAAATTTTTTCCCCCAAAATCCCCAATTTTCCCCAATTTTCCCACCTTCCTGGTGGCGTGGTTCAGCATCTCCTGCCAGGTGGGGTCCAGGCGATTTTTGGCCGAGCCCAGGCCCTGCTCTGCCACCAGAACCATTTCCCTGGCGGCGTTGTGCATTCCCACGGCGCGCTCGTAACGCAGCGCCGCGCGCTGAGTCTCCTGCTGGGCCTGGAGCAAATTAAATTAAAATTAAAATTAAAATTAAAATTAATATTGGGGAGTTATGGGGATTTTTCGGGATTTTTTGGGGATTTTTTGGGATTTTTTGGGGATTTTTTGGGATTTTTTTTTGATTTTTCGGTGATTTTTTAGGATTTTTTTTGGGATTTTATCAGGATTTTTTGTGATTTTTTGGTGAATTTTTGGGATTTTTCGGAGATTTTTTCGGTGAATTTTGGGGACTTTTTTGTGAATTTTTGGGATTTTTTGGGGATTTTTCGCGATTTCTTGGGGAATTTTTCGGGATTTTTTGGGACTTTTTGGGGGATTTTTTCAGTGAATTTTTTGGATTTTTCGGAGATTTTTTCGGTGAATTTTTCGGGATTTTTCGGGGATTTTTTCGTGAATTTTTGGCATTTTTCAGGGATTTTTTGGGGATTTTTTTGGATTTTTTTGGTGAATTTTCGGGATTTTTTGGGGATTTTTCGCGATTTCTTGGGGAATTTTTCGGGATTTTTGGGGGATTTTTTTGGTGAATTTTTGGGATCTTTTGGGGATTTTTTCAGGATTTTTCGGTGAATTTTTCTGATTTTTTGGGGATTTTTTGGGGATTTTTCGGGCATTTTTGGGGTAATTTTTCGGGATTTTTTGGGGGGATTGGAAGGTTCAGCACTCGTAACGCAGCGCCGCGCGCTGAGTCTCCTGCTGGGCCTGAAATAAAATTAAAATTAAAATAAAAATTAATATTGGGAAGTTGTTGGGAATTTATTGGGGAATTTTCCTGATTTTTCGGGATTCTTTTGGAATTTTTTCGGATTTTTTCGGTGAATTTTTCTGATTTTTTTTTATTTTTTCACGATTTTTTGGGGATTTTTTTGGTGAATTTTTGAAGATTTTTCAGCATTTTTGGGGCATTTTTCAGGAATTTTCGGGTGAATTTTTGGGATTTTTTCGGGGATTTTTTTCCGTGAATTTTTGGGATTTTTTCGGGATTTTTTGGGGGGATTTTTTGGGGAATTTTCGGGATTTTTTTGGTGAATTTTTGAGATTTTTTGGGGGATTTTTTTAGGATTTTTTTCAGGGTTTTGGGGGGATTTTTTGAGAATTTTTTTGGGATTTTTCGGTGATTTTGGGGGAATTTTTTTGGAAATTTTTGGGAATTTTTGGGGGATTTTCCAGGAATTTTTGGGGATTTTCTGGTATTTCTTAGGTATTTTCTTTTTTTTCTTTTTATTTTCTCCATTTTTTTTTTGTTTTTTTTCCCAATTTCCCCATTTTTTCCCCCATTTCCCCCTCACCTCCTTGGCTCTCCTCCTGGCCTCGCAGTCGATGGAAATTCCCAATTTTTCCCCATTTTTCCTCTGATTTTCTCCATTTTTTTCCGTTTTTTTTCCCCATTTTTCCACAGATTTTCTCCATTTTTTTCCCCATTTTTTCCCATTTTTTCCCCTGATTTTCTCCTTTTTTTCCCCAATTTTTCCCTCCATTTTTTCCTTTTTTTCCCCCAATTTTTCCCATTTTTCCACCGATTTTCTCTTTTTTTTTCCGATTTTTTCTCCATTTTTTCCCCATTTTTCCTCCAATTTTCTCAATTTTTTTCGCATTTTTCCCCCATTTTTTTCCCCAATTTTTCCCATTTTTCCACTGATTTTCTCCTTTTTTTTCCCCCAATTTTTCCCTCCTTTTTTTCCATTTTTTTCCTTTTTTCCCCATTTTTTCCCCCATTTTTTCCACATTTTTTCTCCAATTTTTTTCCTTTTTTTTCCCCATTTTTTCCCCCATTTTTCCTCCGATTTTCTCCTTTTTTTTTCCAATTCTTTCCCGATTTTTTTCCCCATTTCTCCACCGATTTTCTCCATTTTTTTTTTATTTTTCCCCATTTTTTTTTCCCAATTTCCCCATTTTTTCCCCCATTTCCCCCTCACCTCCTTGGCTCTCCTCCTGGCCTCGTAGTAGGGCCGGGCTCTGTCGATGCAGGTTCCCAGCTGGGATCCCTGGGAATTCAATTTCCGGGCGGATTCCGAGAGCACGCGGCGATAGCGGCACCGGGCGGCCTGGGGAGACCAGGTCACACTGGTTTGGACTGGTTTGGACTGGTTTGGACTGGTTTGGGATGGTTTGGAATGGTTTGGACTGGTTTGGACTGGTTTGGGATGGTTTGGAATGGTTTGGACTGGTTTGGAATGGGAAAACCAGTTTGGGACTGGAAAACCAGTTTGGGACTGGTTTGGACTGGTTTGG